CTATTACTTGGTTTCTCTCCGTTCAGAACCTTTCCTTTTCTTTATTTCCATCCCTTATATTTATCAATTTCCCCCATTATTTGTATCTATTTCTCAACATAAATTGGATGATCTTAGAATTTACAAAGTTTATTGTAATAACCATTAATGTTCTGTTTCCATTGGTCCAATTAGAGCATTCCCCTTCAAGTTAAGAATATATAAAATATTTAATTGGGATTTTTCCATATATAGAATTAACGTATCACTTAACAAAAAGTATTTCTTAAGACATTTTATCCTATAAAATGCTGGTGGAAATGTTCATTTGAAATTATGTATTTTATTCCATTTTAGAAATTTTTGAAATTGATAACTGTATAACAACAGGAAATCCAAGTCAAATTTTGGAGAAAAGTGACATTTATTTAACAATGTAACTGACTAAAGCGAGAGGCAATAAATGGAATTAGTGACCTAGGAGAAATTTTCCAAGTGGAGAAAATGTAATAAATATATCAGAAAACACAAATTTCTGAGAAGACATTAAAATTTAGTTAGTATTAGGGACAGCGCAGGAGAGGAAGGCCCTCTATGAGGTGGATTGATTCAGTGATTGGGATAATTGGGATGGGAGTGTCAGAGACAGTGCGATTGGCACAGGACAGAGCAGAGTTTAGGGCTGTTGTACATAGGGTCACTATGAGTCGCAGGCAACTTGATGGCACATAACAACAACAACAATTTAAAAAGTCTTCTTATGCAAATCTCAACTCAAGGACACAAGTGGAAGACTTTATTATGTGAGGAAAACCATATATTAAAATGTAATAATACTCTCCTTTTAAAAATTCACATTGGAGAGATATTCTGAAATTGTATTAAATGTGGAAAATCTTCTAATCTAGAAGTCCATTTTAACTGAAACATACAGTCTAACTAAAGAGAAAGCATTGAGAGTCAATGAATAGGACAAAGTCTTTAGAGATAGTTTAGCTCTTAATTAACATACAAGAAACCATACTGGCATAATGCCTTATAAATTCCACAAATGTAGGAAGAGGGTGCTTTCATCCAGGAGTCAAAACTGAGTAACTGGACATCAGAGAATTAAAAACTACAATTGTAAAAATATGTGAAAAGACCTTCAGGGAATTGTCAACCTTAACTGAGTATCACCAAAGAAATCAAAGGGAGAAATCTTATGTACATATTGAATGGGGGAAAGTACTATTCTAGAAATCATAGTTTTGTATACAGAGAATTCTTAAGAATATATTAAATGTGACAATGTATTCAATAATAAATAATGCTCCCCATTGTACATAAGATGACTTCTACTGTTAAAATAACCTACAAGCAAACTGAATAAAAGCTAATAAAAAGATACAACTCACTGTAATGTATGGTTAATTGTATGTATCAACTTGGGTAGGCTGATTTCCAGTATTTTGGCAAACATTAGTCTAGTTGAAGCTGCATGATGTAATGTAATTATATTCCATCATATAATTCAATATCATGTAATCTCCATCCATAATACAATCTAATGTAATCAGTTACTTCAAGTCATGCCTGTGCAGGGCGCATCCTAAGCCTAATCCTTTTACTTTTAACTTTAATTTTTACTACTTTTAAGTAGTAAAAAGAACAGAACTGACACTGACACAAAGGAACACACAGGGAGAAAAGATTGGTGATGGAGACAGAATGATTGCTTGTCATTACTAAAGGCTGAAGTAGACAATTCAGACTTCTAGCCTCCTCAACTATGAGAAAATACATCTCTGTTCTTTAAAGCTACCCCAATCCATGACAATCATGTTCCACCAGATGGTAACTAACACACTGTGCATTAAGGAACTAACATCAGAGATATGATCATAGTTAAGAGTACATTCAATAATGTGAGAGTCGTGTGAAGGATTTCTGCAGCAAGTCGCGAAGCCTCACCTTGGAAAACATGAGAAAGCTTCTGGCAAGAAATCACCCTAATTCTAACAATTCAGAATGGGGAAACCCATAGAAGTATACAAACAAACCAAAGTAAGTGTGTGTGTGTGTGTGTGTGTGTGAGAGAGAGAGAGAGAATGGTTTCAATTAACAGTCAAAATTCACTGCACATCAGAGAACTGATACTGTGAGACACATGACAAAAACAATGAATTCAAGAAAACTTTCACCTGGAGATGAGAGAACATAAAACTATGAATGTAAAAAATGTTGTTGTTGTTGTTGTTGTGTGCCGCGGAGTCACTTGGGACTCATAGCGACCCTATGTACAACAGACCTAAACTCTGCTCTGTCCTGTGCCAACCGCATGGCCTCTGACACACCCATCTCGATTACCCCAGACACTGAATCAATCCACCTCATAGAGGGTCTTCCACTCCTGCGTTGTCCCTCCACTCTCCCAAGCATGATGTCCCTCTCCAAGGACCGGTCCCTCCTTACAACATGTCCAAAGTGTGTCAGACAAAGCCCCAGAATCCTTGCCTCCAAGGAGCAACCCGGTTTAACCCCCTCTAGGATGAATCTGTTTGTTTTCTTGGCAGTCCGTGGTACATTCAATACTCTTCTCCAGCACCACAGCTCAAAAACATCAATTCTCCTTCTATCCTTCCTAGTAAAAATGTAGAAAACTTAAACTGTCACCTCAGACTGAATATCATACAAAATATCAAAGGAGAAATCTTATGTACATGTTAAATGTGGAAAAGTATTCCTTTAGAAATCATACCTTTGTATATATTTGAGAATTCAGAAAGGAAAAAAACTTTAAGCATGTGTTAAAAATTGTAACGCCTTTATAGAATGTTTTACTAATCATCAGATAATTCATGTTGTAAAGGTAACTTACAAGTGTACTTAAAGTCTGTAAGAAGACAAAACTCACTGAGTTCATATAGAAGAGAATTCTATGAAGTAGTGAATGGAAAAGCTTTCAGTAAGAAAATACATCCCATGAAACTTCAGAGACCTTACAATGATAGAAGCCTTAATTTGGAAAAGCAATCATCAGTAAATGAAGTTTAATAATTTACACTGGGATGAAACTCTAGATGTATAACAAATGTGAAGAAAGAGTAGTATAGCAAAAAATATTTACTGGAGTCTCTATGTCATATGAAGTGCGATTAATCTTCAAATTTAGTTAAATACTAGAGAATTTATGCTGAAAAATGAAACAGTAAATGAAATTTAAATTCTACCCCAGGGAAATAATAATCTAGAACTGAAAAAAGTGTTTAGTAATTACAAAAGGAAAAAAATTTCTGAAAACAGTCATCCATGTAGCTAGAGTGCAACATCTTCCTTCACATGCTTTATGTTCTCATTTCAAAGGAGATTTCCCAGTAGATACTGCAAGAAATGAGTTATTATATTCTTCTTACATTGTTCACTTTGAATTAATCCTTTTTGTCTTACTTATATTGTGCTTCTTTAACACATATACTATAAGTGGATGTTTTTCAAAGAGCAGAATTTATTTCCTCAAAGGCCTGGCAGCTAAAAGTCCAAATCAGGGCCTGTGCTGTACAGATTCCTTCCTTGTTGGTAGCCCTTGGTGTTCCTTGGTTTGTTGGCATTCATTGACTTACATTTAATCTTAACCTATCTGTCTTTTCCTGTGTGTGTTTTTGTGCCCATTCCACTCTTTTTTAAATTCATAAGTGATTGGGTATAAATCATCCTAGCTGAGGAGATTTCTAAGTAAGATCTTAAAAAAGTTGTATGATTTCTCCTTGCCACTTATGATAAAATGCAAAAGGAGAGAAAAGGACTTTAAAATGAATTGTACAATATGAAAACAAAACAAATTTATGAAATTCTGTGGTGTAAGAAGATTCGGTTGTTCATCAAGTCTTTTGTTAAAGAGACGAAGCCTGTGACTAACTGATTTAAAGACTTGTTGCTAGGTGTCATGGAGTTGGTTGTACCTCATAGCAACTCTATGCACCACAGAACAAAACACTACTCAGTCCTGCACCAAACTCACAATCACTGCTATGTCTGAACCCTCATTGCAGTCATGTGTCCATCCATTTACTTGAGGACTATCTCTTTTTTACTTCTGCTTTACCAAGTATGATGTGTTCTTCCATGGCTCATTCTTCCTGATAGCATGTTTAAAGTATGTGAGAGGAATTTTCACTATCTTCACTTCAAAGGAGCATTCTGCCTGTATTTCCACCAAAAAGAAAACTCATTCACTTATATTGAAGGGGATGGAGAAAGAACAAAAAGATAGCTGCCTGTCTGCCTCTTGGAATTCCACAGACAATAAATAGTCCAAATGATTTACAGTCATTGTCTTCCAAGAAAAGAGGAGAACAATCCTTGGAGCAGCTCAAAGATCAACTAACTGTTGGTAGCAGCAAGGGAAGCAGATCTATGTTGGTCATGAAGGTGAGTCCATGGCCTCTGAGGTATCAAAGGACAGAGCCATGGTTCAAGGCTTTAAAGCGTTTTGACCAACTTGGTTCCAGAGTGTGGGACTGCTATTCGATTTGGCCATGAGGCCACCCTGCAATACCCGAGGAGTAGAAGAATGAGTCCTTGCTGAGCTGAGGGGATGGAGTCAACACTCAGATCAGATTCACTCAGAGAAAGAGGCCATCTAAAGCCAAGGTAGAAGAGGTGCCATCGCCATGGGCTTAGAAAGCAGAGCTGAAGCCCAGAGCCAAGGAGCCTCCACCCGGAATCCAGAGAGTAACACTGGCAGTCTGCAGGGTGAGGTCATCACCTAGATAGACTCAGGGACTAGAGAATCATTTTCAAGCATTGTAAGCTAATTTGCTCTGCTGGAGTTGTAAACTTGCTTGGTTATCCTCTTTCCCTCAATTTCTCTCATTTATAATGGAAATACCTAGCTCTGAGGGCCAGTCGCCTCCATGGTGGGAGTGTCATTCCTGGGCCCCTTGAACTAATAGTTCACTGTGGATCTGTAGTCTTTACAACTTCCACCATGAATCAGAGGAAAGAAAAGGGAGCAGCCAGCCCTGTTCATCTGCACCTTGCTATTTGGTGTCCTCTGTGCCCTCACCCTTGGGTGAGGCTGCCACTGTGGAGGTTGCTTTGAGACTTCGCTTCCTCTTCTGCACGTTCTGTTCTGGGTGGAAAATGATGACGTAGGTTTTGGGGACGTAGAGCATGCCAAGTGACACCGATGCACTGAGACTCAAGGACACGGTCAGCGTGGTTGTCTGGATGTAGATCTAAGCCAGGGAGAAAAGGATGAGATGGGTGTTAGCCCTATTATCTCCACAGCCTCTACACTTAATTATACTGCCATGAACTAGAGGTGAGTCTATGTAGCTGGGGAGGATGAATTAAAATGAGCACAAAGGGAAAGACAGCAATGTAGACTAAATCCTGGTAGCATAAATGGCCTGGTGGTCACACTGTGTGCCACTGAGGTAAAAGCACTATCTAAGAATAATGAGTGGCCTGAGATGAGCAAAATTTAAACAGGCTAAACCACATTAGTGAATGAATGGGCAGGTTTTCAGTCACACAAATTAATAACTTAAAAGACTAACAAAAGACACACATGGGTAAGCAAATAGATGTCACAGATGAATAATGTTCTACTATATACATGAATTTTGGAAGCAGGCATGACATCCACTTCCTAAACAACGTGCCTCCGAAAACTCTATGAACTTTGATAAATGTTGATAGTTGTAGAGGGGCTTCAGGCCTTTTGTTCACAGGGTCGCTATGAGCCCTGCTCAGCTCGAAGGCAATCAACAACAATCAACAACATTATACATGACTATGTGAATAAATAAATATTCAAGTAAATGAATTAATGGATTGACAGATAAAGCTATGAAAAGAGTAAATACTTGACTAAAATCAAGTTAATAGATGGATAGAAAAGTTAATGAACCAATGAATAAACAAAGAAATAGGGGAATGACGGACTTAATAAGTGGAAGGATATTGAAGTGAACAGAGTTAGGGACACAAGTGAACCATCTAACCACACATTCAAAGAACTGAGCCCATCTAAATTGATGGCTCAGCTCTTGGAACTTTGGGGCCCTTCAGTCGACAGACAGGAAACAAATGAGGTACTTAACCCTCTGGGGGAATCCCAGATTACCTTTTCAGCTGACTGGGCAGTGCCAAAGAATATAGGCACAAAAGCCAGCCAGATGATACAGGTGGTGTACATGGTGAAGCCAATGGGCTTGGCCTCATTGAAGGTCTCAGGCACACCACGAGCCTTGATGGCATACACAGTGCACGTGACCATAAGCAGGAGGCTGTAGCCCAGACAGCCGATGAGGGACAGATCTGACATGTCGCACTTGAGCACCCCTCTGGCCTGCTCGGGGTCCACTGTCCGCTGCTCTTCATAGTCGATCACGCTGTGTGGAGGCTGGGCCCCCAGCCATGCCACCACTCCCACCACCTGCAGGAACCAACACCATAGCAGAGACAAGGCCATTTCCAGCAATACGTATCTGCCTGCTGAGTGGAATTCTTGGGCGTGAGAGAGCCACCACTAAGAAAAGAAGGAAGTCTAAGTGAGAGGCTGGCCAGAGCAGAGGTCTGAGACATGGCAGGTGGAAAGGAGGAGTTGTAGTGGAGTCCCGTGTTGGTAACATCATCACGGCTGAATATGAGAAAATTGTATGTCCTTTGCTGCTATGTTTTATGTTCTACCCTGCTATGGACTGAGTTCCTGCAAGGGATGATGACTATAGGTAAAAGACAGGAAGTCAGGCTGTGTGACCCTTAAACACACCTCTCTTGGCCTTGGTTATACCAGGTAGTGTGGAAACCCTCACAATCTCTCCTCAGAATGTTGTTGTGTGGACAAAACATCATCTTTAGGGGTGGGATGAAATACTTGGTACATGTATCACATATTAAGAGCCAGATCCTGAAGAAATGTTCTCTCTACTGTACTTCCTGGCCCTCCAGGTAAGCATTATTACCTTGTCTGCAAATACAATCATACACCAATTTGATCACTTCAAAACAGCAACTCCAGTTACTATGGGCTGATTTGACTCATGGCAAATCCCAGTGTGACTAGAAGTGTGTTCCATAGGTTTTCAAGGGATGATTTTTTTGGAAGTCGATTGCCAGTCTTTTCTTCAAAAAGAACTTTCTATGGCTTTGAACCACCAACCTTTAGGTTAGTAGCAGCACATTAAACTGTTGTGTTTAAAAGGACTCTGATAACTCTTAACATAATGCAAACTTAGTTTCTGAGGATTGCTTTACTTCTCTAAATCTAGAGAACAGTTTGGTAAAATGAAATCTTGGGATGGGGGGAAGTAGGCACTTGATACAGGTGCAGGAGTACTGACATGCTTTCTCAAAACGTGTTGAGCCCAACAAGTGGAAGCTTAGGTCCTGTTGGGAAAAACAGAAGCACTTTCTAGTCATGAGTAATTACACACATAAAGACCAGTGGATAAGAATGAATAGGGCATATGTGGAGCCAACTGGGAGAAGAGCTGGCCTGGAGTGGAAAGTGTGTTTCTTTCTACTTGACCTTAAGAATATGGCTGGCTCTGCAATATTACACCAGACTCATTTCTCCAAACCATCTGCCTCATATTATTCTCTACATAGGAAACATCTAGGGCTTTACAAACCATGGAAATTATGTCCAGTGCTTTAATATTACTTGTACTTAGGGGGAACCAATCTTTTTTAAATGTCATAAAATGTCATTCTTTTACATCCTAAAACATAAGCCATTTTATATGGAATTCGATTCTCCCTTCCACAGAAAAACCACAGGACCCTGTGCCTCTCACCCAGCATACCCCAGCTAATTTAGCAGCATAACATGCTTCATGGAAACTGAGTCTTAGCTTGAGGAAAATTAGTCGGTTCTTTCCTTATTTTTATATAAGATCCAAGTTGGAAGAGCATATATTCAGTTTATAAAAATAGTTTTATAAAAAAAATAATTTTATCGCTTTACAGAAAATAAGTAGACCCTCATGCCTCCTAACATACTGCCTTGATTTCCTTTAAGAAGGGAATGAGAGAGTAAGGTAGGGCAGCAGGTGGGGAGAAGGAGAGGAACAGCTTCTCTTCAATGAGGTCTTTTTATTACAGGAAAACAGCAGGGCTCTAGCTCTTGAGCAATTTTTATTTTAGCATGGGAACCAAAATAGAAAAGAGTGACTGCTCTAGAAATACCACTTCTCTGATTCACTGAAGTTGAATAAAAATCTTCCTGTTAAGACCTTCCACATATATATAGATACATGGAAGTTCTAAAACCTGTACGTGTATGATCTTGTTTGGAAATAGAATAGTTAACTTGAGGTCACATTGGAATAAGGGTGATTCTAATCCAATATAGCTGGTATCCTTATAAAAGGGAAGAGAAAAAAGACATAGAAGGAAGTCAGCCGTGCTATGGCAGAGATAGTGTGGTGCATCTATCTACAAGTCAAGTCAAGGAACACCGCGGGCTCCCAGAAGCTGCGAGAAACAACATAGGATCGACTAATCGTGGTGGTTTCAGAGGAGCATGGCCCTGCTAGCATTCAACACTATGAGACTGATTTCTGTTGCTCTAAGCACACGCGCGCTGTGGCACTTTTGCTGTGCAAGCCCTAGAAAGCCACACCCCCACTCCTAGCCTCCAGCCCGCCCTGTCTCCCACCTTGAGGTTCTTGAGCGCCCACCTGCACAGACGTGAGGCTGAAGGTGATGATGAGCTGCGAGGCGGGGCTGATGAAGGGCGGGGGTGTGACGGAGCGCTTGCCCTGCTCGAAGATCCGGTAGATGCGGTTGGTCTTGGTGAGCAGGGCGGAGTAGCTGAGGGTGGTCCCCAGGCCCAGGAAGAGCCTCCGCGCAGCACAGACGGCGGCCCCGGGCTCGGCCACCATGAGGAAGGTGATGGCGTAGATGAGGAAGATGCCGGTGAGCAGGACGTAGCTGAGCTCGCGGCCGGACGCGCGGACGATGGGGGTGTTGTTGTGGAGCACGAAGGTGCCCACCACCGTGGTGGTGGCCATGATGCCCAGCACGGCCAGCAGCAGCGGCGGCGCGGCCCAGGGCGAGGACCAGGAGAGGCGCACCACGGGCGTGGGCCGGCAGCCTGTGTGGTTGGGCGTGGGCCGCATGTCCCCGGGGCACGCCTCGCACGTGAACTCGTCCACCTGGAAGCGGTACCCGTCGCAGGGCTCGCAGTGCCAGCAGCAGGGGACGCCCTTCACCATCTTCTTCCGCTCACCTGGCCCGCAGGGGAGGCTGCACTGAGACGGGGGCACCTCGCGGGGGTCGCCTGACCACTGCAGCACCTCCACCTGGGGCAAGTAAGACACAAGCCTGTGATGCCCTGCTCTCCTCTCCCCAAATCCGGTGTAATAAGTCCACCTCTCCTCGGCACCGCCCTCAGGGCCCCCTCTGTGCCACTCACGTCCAGCCTGAGCGTCTCTGCCCACTGGCCCACGGCCTGGTACCCGCCGCTGCTGGCGCTGCCATTGGCCGCCTGGTACTGGAAGATGTCGTAGCGCCCTGGCGCGTCTCCATTCTCATTGAACATCACCGGGGTGCCCGCACTGCCTGGGAGAGAGCCCCGTTATCCTCAGCTGGTCCCCTTGTCCATCATAGCCACCGCCAAAGGGTCACATGGCTGGACAGCAAGCAGGACAAGTAAGATGGAGTTGGACTGCCCAGGCCAAACCGTGAATTTAGACCTAAGCCATGAAGTTGTACCAGTATGAAGTCAGTTTATTTCTTTGAAAAGCTTATCCTACTCCCTGTAGTCTGGAATAGTTTTAACAGCTTGGCAGAGGTGCACAGTACATATTTGGTAAGGGGACATAATTTTTTTTGTTTGTTTCAGAAGGGATAGTAGCTACAGAGATTATCTCCTGAGTGGTGGAGGTAAGCACTTGTCTGCTAATAAGAAAACTAGCAGTTTGAGCCCACTCAGAGGAACCACCAAAGAAGTATCTGGCTATTCACTTCTGAAGAATCAGACATTGAAAAACCTACTGATCACAACACAGTTCTGACAATCTAAATAGGGTTAGATATAGAATGGTTCTGTTAGATTCCACTGCACCGCAACTGGTTTTAATTAATAGGCAGTGACTCCCCCACAGGCCATGAACACGGCTTGAATTCATTAGATTGTTTACAAAAGACATTGATTGTCCTTCTCCTTGAAGACACTGATGCATCAGACATACTCCACGTGCAAGCAGCTCTTAATCTCCTGGAGCATCGTTCCAAAGCCTGTGACTCAGAATGGGCAGGCCATCCACATTGTGGGCTAAGCCTAGAGACAGCCTTCACTGTGTCTCCCCACAAGCCCCAAGAGTTCAGATGTCTCACAGTCCAGTTCAGTGAAGAGGTGCTATGTGTAACCTATTAAGTGTAATGCAGGCAGGTCACAGAGTTCTCCGAGTCTGAATTTTGCAAATTGAGGTGTAGAGTACTAAAGCCTGGGGGAAAAAAGAAAGCTAAAAAAAGAGGACTGGGATTCAGTCATAAAGAGAAATGCTATGGCATAGATGAACCTTGAAAATATGCCGGAAAAATATGAGAGACCAATATATATGGTTGCACTTAATAAGAAATGTCCAGGACAGCAGATGCAGAGACAAAAACTAGGCGAGTGATTACTAGGAGCTAAGGAGGGTGAAAATTGGGAGTATGATAAGGAATGCTGAGTTTCTGTGTAACATGATGAAAAAGTTCAGAAACAGTGCTGACAGTTATACTTGCACAACATGATGAATGTAACTACCTGAATTGTACACTTAAATATGATCAAAATTGGAAATACGAGGGGTGTGTGTGTGTGTGTGTGTGCGTGTGAACATTATTCAATTGTTATAAAAAGTGAAGAGTAGAGCTTGGCTCAGTTCTCCAACCATTCTGCGAATTGATCCTGCCTCTCCCCTGGCTTCTGTTCTGAGTCTCCCCAGGTCCCATAAAGAAATCTGTCCCAGGGGTATTCCCCCCTGCCCCCGACCCAAAAGGACGCTAGCTCAGACTCACCATTGAAGCGGACAGCTCGGATATACTGTAGCAGCGTCCGCCCATCAGTGGGCTCCATGGCTGGGCACAAGCCTGTGTGCCCGGGGCAGAGCGCCTGGTGCATGCTGTGGAGGGCGTGGGCAATGGCGTACACAGCATCAATCACAAACTGCACCTTCCCCTCCTGCTCGTAGGCGGAGTCCCGGCCAATGCGTTCCTCGCCTGTCCTAGGGACGCAGCACCCCTGAGACCAGGAGCGAGGACGTGTGCCTGGCCCCCACGTGCCGGAGCTGGCCTCCACCTTCCCCTCTACCCCCTCGCCACCTTGGGAAGTGCTCACCTGTGCATTTGCGGGTGGAATCATCTGACTGGCTACCTGAGCTAATCAGTTTGCAGTTAAAATTCTCTTCCCAGAACTCTGCAAACCAGATGTTCCTGCGGTTGTTCTCCAGAGAGCGGGTCATGAAGTACTGGTCAAACCCTGAGAGGAAGGAGAGAGGAGGCTGCGGTGGTTCTCCCGGGTCCTTTCACAGGTGGGACTGGGGAGAACAGGAAGGCAGGGCAAGCATCATCAATCTCACAAGAGGCCAATGTGTTCCTGAATTTCTCTTCCTCCTTCTCTACATTGGTGTTTTTAGTAGAACTAGAATACAGCCATGAAATTTTAAAAAACACCAACATGTCTTCACCCTGTATAATGGCTGTACCTTCATTCACATACTATCCTCTCTGAACATGACTTTCAAGGATGTAGTTCTAGAACCTCAAACTCAAGAGAGAATCTAGGTATCTTAGAAGGGGATGACTTATGGTACCAATTATATGTTTCTGTGATTCAAAATGCAAACACACTGCCATCAAGTCAGTTCCAACTCACAGTGGCCTCCGTCAGGTTTCCAGGAGGAGCTGTGGGATCGGAACCACCCTATGGCCTCGACAACCAGAACTCCCTATTTTTTGTGATTAGCTGGCATCAAGTAGGGTCTCTACTCATCGTCGCCCCATGAACCAAAGAACAAAATGATGCCCAGCCCTGTACCACTCCCTTGATCAGTTTCAGAATGGACCACTGTGGTCAAACAGGAGCTTCACTGGCTGATTTGCCAGGCCTTTCGTTTAGTCCATCTTAGTCTGGGGATTCCACTGAAATCTGTTTAGCATCATAGCAAAATGCAAGTCTTCAGATAGGTGCTGGCTGTGTATAAAATGCATTGACTAAGAACTGAACCCAGGCCTTCCAAGGAAAGCAAGACTTCTCATACTTGTAACATTATATAGACGATGCAATTAGTGCCCTCAGGAAGGAATTCTGGGGAAGAACAGATAGGAACAGAGGGCTGACTATAAGAGCCATCCCTGATACTCACCGTCAATAGAGGCTCTTTTGGGCAGGATGGTGATGGCCCCCATGGCCACGTCCTCCAGGTTCAGGATGGGTGCAGTCTTGGCTCCCCAGCTGTCTGAGCCGACCCACAGGAAGTGGCCCGTCAGGTTGGCCTGGCGTGCAGCCTCCAGGACCCTCCTGGTAGGACAGGGCTGGGGGGTGAGTGAGGCCTGGAATCCTCCTCCAACTCACCCCTGACCACACCCCAGTCTTCATTCATCCATCCCTTCCCACACCACTCAGCAGATCCTCTTTACCAGGAAAAATGGGATTCAGGGTACTTAGGATATCACTCATTAGGAAAATATCAAGTCAGGTCCTGTCTCCAGGTGAATACACTTGCTATGTCCACTGTAACCCACTTCATGTTAACCTTGGAGGAGACGCATGCAAAAGCCCCCTCACCTTCACATCCTGCCTCCACCACCTCCATGCTAGAAGAGGACCCTCCACTTAGTCAGGGCCCAATTCTGCTGACAGCTTCCTTTTTGGGGACCCATTACTGCCTGGGCTGGGTTCCAACAATTCATTGCACGCACATACCCCTGTATACCCCAATTTTGGATTATACAGACATACCTCATTTTATTGGGTTTTACTTTCATTTGCTTTATAGCTATTGCATTTTTAAAAAATTGGTAGATGCTGACAGCCCTTCATTTAGAAGTTATATTGGGGCCCTTCCTTCAACATGTTCCCACTTTGGGTCTTTAAGTCGCATTTTGGTAATTCTCACAATATTTCAAAATTATTCGTGTCATTGCTCACCCAATAAACCTGCAGTATAGTATTAAAACACTTTCATTGGGAGCTCTGGTGACCTCGTGGCAAGAAGCTGCACTGCAATCCCAGAGGTATGCAGTTCAAATCCACCAGATGCTCTGCTAGAGAAGGAGGGGCAATCTCCTCCTGTACCAGTCAGATCTGATTTGAAGGTACACATACAAAATATAATAAATAAAATTATTTTTTTAAAAAATACTTTCGCATGCACTAGGAAACAACAACAAAAAAAAAAAAATCCCTGTCACCTGCTTTATTGTTATATTTCCTTTATGGTTCTGGAATCAAGCCTAAAAATATCTCCTAGACATGCCTGTATAAGCAAGCAAGCATTCGTCTTGAGTTTCCCTGGTTGAGCTGGGTAATCTCTACTCCAGACCAAGCCAGCATCATTCTGGGTATGTAGATGCATCAATGGTAGCAATGGGTGGGAGGAAGAGGAGGAAGGGTGTGTGCATATCAGGTGGGGGTGTCAGAATAGGAGCCAGCACACGCAGGGAGAGCTTCCTTAGACAATGACTGAACACATTCATCCCCACCTGATGTCATCTTCATTGGCAAAGATGATAATGCCCCGTGCATTTGGAGTTTCCATGAGTCTCCTGATGACCTTGTTGAATTCTCCTGGCTTTGGTTCCCTGGGAATCTTGATGGACTGCGCAATACAGACCCCCCCTGGGTGTTGGGGGTGCTTACATCAGACCTTAGTCCCTGTACCTACTGGGTCACCACCGAGGGTGACTGCCTAGCTGTCTTCAGTGCTCAGAACCTGACCAAGGGGAGGAGGGTTGGAAGCTAGCCTGAGCTCCACTTGCTGTGCCATATGGCCACAGGCTAAGTCCAAATGAGCAGGATGTACTTTTTCTTCCAAAGTGTAGTCTGCATTATAATCCCTGAACAACCTACAGGGACACTCCCCCCCTTCCAAGAGTAACCACCCTGAGGTCCACTACAAACCCCATGCCCCACCCTATGGCTCCTTGCTCCATCAGTGGTCCCTGGCTCACATCCCTGCAGGCTCCTTGATGCCTCAGACTTCCCCCAACCCCCCAACCCCAACTCACCAGCCTCACGGGAGATCTGTACAAAGGCCTCAACCCCACTTTCGCCGTAGTTGCCCTCGGAGGCCAGCGTGGACACATAGTTCCATCCCAGTGCTCGGACAATGTCCACCATGGCCTGGGCCTGATAGGAGTCAGGTGGCACCACACGAGAGAAGAAGTCGTAGCGTGTGGAATCGCTGAGCTCCGGGGCTGTGGAGGCATAACTGATCTGAGGTATCTGGAGGGGAGGAAGAAGGCCAGGCTGTGGGTGGAGGCCTAGTTAGTGACCCTCGGGAGGAACTTAGGAGATGGATGAGGGTTGGGGTCTGCTGTATGGCCTCATGGAGAGGTCAGAAGGTATGGGGAAAGCTCTGCAATTTGTGATGGGTTCTCGTGGAAAAGAATATGAGAGAAGTGAGAGTCTCGGGAAAAGAGTGGGTCACCATAGATAGTTGTGAAGTTTGTGTTCAAGAACTTGAACTGTTGAGCAAGGGGAAAGGAGTTGAAGTCCATTATGTAGCTAAATGGACTTCTAGGTGCAGGTGGCATCCACTTGGAGAAAGGGGTGTTCTTGGCAGTTCCAGAGGAAGGCCCACTTTTCTAATCACACAAAGAGATCATGTACCCACATGGCAGCCCCAATGAGGCTTCAGAACAGACAGAAGTCTGGAATGAAGGCTCTGATTCAAGGCTATGCCTGTGCCCTGGGGAGGTTTATTTGAAACTAGGTTTATCTGGGTGCATTAAAGTGATTAGTAATAGAGATTATGGACTGATCTGACCTGGGGTCAGTGAGAGAGGGAAACTTGAGAGGAGGTGGAGAATGGTAACAGAGGACAGAGGAGTGCCTGACAGAGAGAAGGTGCAACTGAGAACTGTGTTAAAGAAGACACACTTATGTGGAGCAAAGAGCAAGAGGGAGCAAATGAGAGTTGGAGTGGAGGTCTAAGAGGAAGAAGTTCTGAAGGGGTGAGGGGCTGGACTGGTCTAGGAGAAATGAGGCTGTTTAAAATAAGGTAGACCGTGTGTCAGCAATATGAGAAATGGGATAGAAAGTAGTAACAGAGAAAGACAAAAGAGAAACTGGAAGAGATTATAGACAAAGAGATGAGATAGAGAAGAACAAGAAGTGAGATAGAAATATAGGAACAAGAGAGATAAAGAGAAACAATCAGAAGAAAGGAGGCAGTGGAAGACCTCCTGGCTATAATTCAATTAGTAGATACTAAGGGAGTTCTGGTGGCTTAGTGGCAAGAAGCCGTGCTGGCATGCACATCGAAGACATAGCCTAAAGGAAGGAAAACATGCATTTATTTCTCTGTACCTGGGGTGGGGGGAGTGGGGGGGAAGTGGTGAGAGAGAGAGAGATAAAGACAGAAACAGAGAGCCAGAAAGAGACAGAGAAAAGAGACAGCCACAACTTCTGTGCAATATTTGGCTGTAGATATGTACCACACCAATGCTGCCATCTACAGGACACTGTGGGAAGCGAGCTATTAAGCTGGTGATGGAGGAAAAGGTCCAGAAAACAAGGAGGAGAAACAAGATTTTCGAGGAAAGGAGATTAGTAGGTGTGCTCCACTTAAGTTAAATGGAAGCAACACTTCCGCGCGCGCACACACACACACACCCTTGCCAAGAGATGGAAGCATAGAGAGCACTAAACTCTCAGGTATCCCAGTAAAGCCATCCTACAAGCAGCTTCCAATGCTTAACTACCACATAAAACCACAAACTTTAATGCCAAAGGTCCTCTAATCCCTATGACTCCATCATTGCTTCTCATCCCCACCTCACCCCAGGACGGCAAGTAGTTTGTCTCTCTCTTAAAGGAGAATTCCCTAAAGATGGGAGCATTGTGGGGCTGGGAAGAGCGCTAGAGATAATCACAGAGTAAAAGAAATTCCATCATCACCACTTCAGAGCGTGAGATAAAGTTAAAAATCAAACATTGCTTTGTGGAATTTAAACGATGATAATTAAAAAAGAGACACTTAGAATAATAAATACCCTGCGGGCCTAACTAAGCACTTTTACCACCATGGGGCAAAGAGGAGCATCTTGGTTGCCACCTCCTGAAGTAGAGCCTGAAGTCCAGAGAAATGTCAAAGCTCCTCCCACTGCCTCCTCCACAAGCACAGAAGCAAGATAATCAGGTACAGTCAGTCATGCAAGGTTTGAATTTGCGAGAAACTCAGAAGGTAGGATTCCTAATGCATACAGAGGGCTGCCAGCCTGTGTAAACGGTATAACTGAGGTGAGGAAGAAAGAGGTCAGACAGGAGAGTAGGGATAGGGGTACCACAGCATTTTATTCAGGTCTGTACTTGAACCAACGAAGAGAGCTTCTTTGAATCACTCCCATCTGCCTGAACTAAAGTAGTTCAAGCAGAGAGCTTTCCAGAATGAAGGGAGAAAGATGTCAGGATGAGGACAAAGAGATGTTGGAACTCGAGCTCGGCTCCGCAGCCCTCACCGCGAAAAGGCGCAGCACGTTGGCAACCATGATGGAGACAGAGCTGGCCGAAGCTCCCACCACCGCCACGACGCGCTCAGGGGGCGCAGCGCGCAGTGGAGGGGCGCCCCCTGGGCAGCGCACGCTGGCTTCATCGCCATCGCCACGGCCTCGGATCAGAGCCTGCACAAAGCTGAGTGCCTGCTCCAGCGCGTACGTGTCCCGGGAGCAGGTGTCCAGCAGCCGCGCACCCAGGCGCACACCAGGCAGCAGCTCGGGGTCTGCGTTGACGCGGTCCAGCGCATACAGCATGGCCTCGAGCCGGTGCACTCCCTGCTCTTTCTTCAGCGTCCCACAGGCCCGGCCCGCTGCGCCTCGCGCGTGTACCGGGAACAGACCGCCCAGTGTCAGCCCGCCGGCCAGGCGCACGGAGCCCGCCGCCTGCGCCCTGACGCCCGGCACCAGCCACTCCAGGGTCCACAGCAGCGCCAGGAGCGGCGGGCAAGGGGCGCGCCGGGGTCCGGCCATGGCTCGTAGGCTGCAGAGGAAAAGGCAGAATGGGAGAAGGCTTTCCCTCAAAAAAAAGTTTCTGAAAACTTAAGGAACCTGTTGGGCAAAGGTTGGGAACTCTGGGGCAAAGGAGAAGGAAGGCACACAAGATATGTTTGCCTAGATCTCTTAGTGACTAAGTGGGATGCTATTCTGTCAGTCGTCCTGGTTCTCCATCCAGGGTGCCCAGAACAGCACACGCAGATCCCCCTGCCTGATGCCTGTTTCCAGCCCTCCAGCCTTGCCCCATCTCAACATACTCTTTTTCTTAGAATCCAACCTTAGCATCTCCTTGGTGTGCACACTCACCTGCGCCAGCCGCTGTCGCTCTCGGTTCAGAACAAGTCTGTAGCAGATGCTGAGGGGCACTAAGGGAGAAAGGATTTAAGGATTCTAGGGAGGTGATGAGAGACCGCCCTCAGGGCGGAAACCCCTCCATAGAACTGATGTCCTGAGCTGGCTTCCCTCTCATTCTCTCTGCATCTCTTCTCCCTCCCTCCTCTAGTCCCTGTTTTGTTTTGTTTTGGTTTGGTTTTTTCCTTCCTTTGGTTGTACGCTCTACTCTCTTAGGGACTGTTTCTGACGTGCACGCTCACTTTGTCTTATTTCTGTCTCCCTCTGATTTTTCTCTTCCATCCTTCTTTCCTTCCATCTCCTTCTTTCCTTCCTT